GGACTCAGCTAAGAAAAGTGGACTGGTGTCTCAATGCTGGTTTACATCTGGTTTAGAATAAGTGCTGGGCCTGACATGGATAATGGATTGCACAGTTTGTCATTTCAGATAGCTTTGTCCTGGTCCTTCCTGCTCCTTCTCCGAAGGATTGTGCCAGCTCCCGACATGAAGCACTTGGGGGTCCCTGGCAAGGGCTGGTGGTGTTCAGTGCGCTGATGGATTGGTGCATCTTTACTTCTTTTAGAGTTTTACATCTTTTTAAATCCACCTTTAGACCTTGGGTCAAAAATGAGTCTCTTCCCACAGCTCAAGAGCAGGATTCCCTCAGGGAAAGGGGCAGGTTGAAGCTTCTGTATGAGCTCTCTCTGCAGCTCTCCCCCTCTGCTTCCTGGTGCAGGGGAGGCTGGGGTACAGTGATTCACCTCTTTCCCCCCTGCGTGATGGCAGGGTGTCACACCTGGCCCTGGCCCCGGCCCTTGTGCTTACGGCCGTCATCACTGAGCAGCACGGTCATCAGCAGAACAGCCCTTCGGCCTCTCTGTCACTAAGTCATGATTTTCCCATACGAAAACCAAGCCCTGATGTGACGTGGCTTGTGCAGGAAATTGGGAGAGCAGAGCCAAGTTTTCCTAATGGGCTCGGCGGACGGGCAGCCTGGCATACGGGGGCCTTTCTGTCCGTGCTGATTGCAGATTTCAGCTTGTGCCAAAGACGCTCATTTTTATTCATGTTTCAGACCAACTCGCTTCTCTGGGATAATGCCTAGCAAGCCAGAGCAGCATCTGGAGATTACAATCACACATTTATTTTTAAATTCAGTCCTTCTGCACAACTACATTATTTCTGGCTGTGCTGTACTTGTGTTATTGTAAATGAGTTGATTTGCTTCTGAAATCCATAAGCTCTTGTTTAATTAATGCACACGGTACATCTGCTGCTTTTTAAAGGGAGAATAGGGCACTGTAGGTTGCTGAGAGCATGATAGATTCAGAGTTCCCCTTGGCTCTCATTTCTTTTGATTGCTAAAAAGGCTATCAAGTTCCCAGTAAAAGGAGAGAAGCTGTCCAAATTGCTTAGCGGTATGAGTGCTTTCATACTCTTCCATTCCCCAAGAAGAGATGCCCTGGGAAGACGGGTGGAATACACCAAAAACCCCTTGCACCCATCCTGCCGTAACAGGTCTGCCATCAGGATAGTCTTTTCTTTTGTGCTTTCATTTGAATCACGTTGCCGTCACCCTGTCTTCGGCAAAACTGAACGTGTTCTAAACAACTTTGTATTCCTCACACACTGCAGACTTAATGCGTCGCAGCCTTGTCAGCTAAAATAATTGTAGCTTCACCGAAGCTGGCTTGTTTTTAGATGTGTTTCAGCGTCGTGGGTCTTGGCAGTGCGATCTCAGGGAAGCTCGTTCAATCACAGAAATGGGAACATGCTCATTTTAGCTGTTACTAGTGTAACCTCCTGTTCCTCTGGCTTTTGACATTGCTGTTTTGACTTGCCGTGATATGTACATCTGCCATAAGTCAGCTTGTCATTTCCCTGCGGTTAGTAACCGGGAGAATAGTGCTGTGTGTGTGCATGCGTGCACCTTTACAGAATAGGTGGCAGTGCAGCGTGAGAAGGAAGTTTTTTAGCGTCCTTTGGGAGTGGCGTTCAGCAGAGGTGCTGGGATGATGCGTTATTTGCCAAAGCAGGAAGACAAAGTCCGAGTGAAACTCGTTTTTCTTCTCAAATGTGTGAGTATTTGCAGCTGCTCATTTATTGAACGGCTATCCCAGAGGAGGAGCGTGCGTGAGCGGCTGCTCCGGTGGTACAGATGGTGGGGAGTGAGCAGCCCTGTTTCCACGAGCGCAGCAGGGGTGGGATGTGCTGCCCAGCCGGGCAGCCAGCACGCAGCGCTCAGAAGTGGCCTTGATGAGCAAGTGCTATTGCATATGGAGACATGGCAAGCGCTGGTGACCACCTGGGATTTTGACTTGGGGCTACAGAGCTGACAAGAGACTGTGGCATTTGCATCATTCCTGACTCCAGGCCAGTAAACCTTTTATCCAGACCAACTGTTGTGGTATCCATTTATCCTACATATTTTATAGAACTGTTCAGGTGCTTTTTAAAGTGTTAGCAAACACCCTGTGAAGTCGCTGCTGGTACTCTGTCTTCAACTCTCTGCTTCTAATTATAATGATGAAAACCTAGCAAGGCTGATATCTGAGTCTGCAGAACCTGGAAAGCCAAAGAAATTGTAGCTTATTGCTTTTGGGTGATAACAGAAGAATCTCAGAAACCCTTTTGTCAGCCAGGTTATTAGTGTTACGCATTTGTCATTTTGCTGTCTAATCCCAGATCTAGACTGTAAAGAATCATCTCTTCCTAATGTGGGGGTGGATTCCTGGGATTTTCATCTAAGAGTTCCTGCTGCTTCTTCCTCAGTGTCCAAAGGATATGTGAATTTAAATCTCTGTGTTAGATCTGTGTATTGCCCAGCCTGCACTGCACACAGGTTGAATTTTGCAAACGGATTTGACACCTGGAAGAGGGAGGGAAAGCCAGACATGTTTTATATCATTATTCATCTTACGTGCAGTTACCTGGAGTTGTTGGGCTGAGGTTGAGAGGTAGTTTGGTAATAACTTGACAGACGTGGCCTGATGGGCAGAAGAGAAATGGGAGAGTGCATGATAAATACTGTTTACCGCGTGGCCATTGAGTTAATTACCCCGAATTCCCATTCCCACTAAATGCCACACACATGCATGGAAGCTGTGGTGCAAACTTGGTGTACAAAGATACTAGAAACCCTCTTGCAGATTTTGATCTTACTTTTTCTCATTTCCCTCCTATTTTCTTTTTTCTTTTCAATCTTATAACATTTGTCCAACTACTTCCACGAGGAAGAAACGGGTAAGGGCAGCTTTCCGTAACATTTGAGAATAAGACGATGGAAGGAACTCAAATGTTGGCAACCAGAAAGCGTAGCAGTAATGTGTGTAATGGAGTGAATCACTGTAATCCTGCTTTTTTCCCTGCTACTCTAGTAATTTTGGCTTGCTGGTTATTTTATCTTGCAAATGACTATGCTACTAGCAGCAACCAGGATTTTGACTCCTCAGAGAAAAAAATGTTTTGAGTAGATAGGAGTGTGTAAATGAACCCACTTGAAGCTTGGATTTGTACAGTCTAAATTATGCCAATGTAATGGGGTAATTGTTTGGGGGGGACATTTTACTGGTCAGTAAACTAGAGTACTGAGGCACAGTGGGTTGATTGGCACAGTTGCTTTACTAAAGAGACAGAAATTATATTCACTGTCTGTCACTAATCCAGCCTTCAATTATGAAAACACAGCGTGAATAAAATTTTGTTTTCTGTTCTTGTCCCAGTTTACATTCCAGTGTTCTGAGAAATGACCCAGGATCCAGGCGATCTAGTAGCTCTACTATGTTGGATGGAGGAAATATTGGAAAGTTTGAATTTGAGATCACTGACTTCTTCCTCTTCGGTTCACCCTTGGGTCTGGTCCTTGCACTGCGAAAAACTGTCATTCCAGCTCTTGACAGTAAGTCCTGGTGTAAATTGCTGAGCTCACTTAGTGGATGGTGTAAGCACCTCCTGCTACAAATACAGTAATTTGATGAGACAAACTAGTGAAAACGGAACATTTATATATAATATTTATTGCGCCATAAGGAAGATCACTGTGTGCTCTAGCCAGTACTGATTATACAATTTATTTGCAATGTACTTCCAAGCATTAAAAATACTGGGCAATTCTTGAGTCTATAAATATTGTAATAAATTGTTTCAAGTGACTAAACTGGAGGATGAGGGAGATGATAAATCCTTAGTACTTTTTTTAACCCAACAGTTGTCCTTTATACAGACAAATATTTATGATAGTCTAACAAATAACCTTTTGATACTTAAGGGGTTTTTTCTTTATCTATTTAGTCTTTCAGCTCAGACCAGCTTGTCAGCAGGTCTATAACCTGTTCCACCCTGCAGACCCATCTGCTTCACGCCTCGAGCCTCTTTTGGAGAGGAAGTTCTACCTTTTGCCCCCCTTTAATATTCCCCGTTACCAGAGGTTCCCGCTGGGTGATGGCAATTCTGCTGTTCTGGGTGAGTCCCTTTGGATGTATATTAGCTGTCTAAAGGGTTATATCCTTGTTTTACATGAAATTACCAAAGCAGTTGGGAATAACAAGAAAGAGAATTGGCCCTGTAATGTTAGCCTTATTCCTGACTTACCAGAAAAGTAGTTTCTTGCAACAAATCAGTGCCTTGTGGATCCATATGCCCTTCATTTGTCACACAAAGGCCATCAGCTGCTGAGGGTCATGATGTGGTGACCTCTCTGTGAAGGTCCCTGTTTTACAGTCAAGCTGGTGCTTGTGATTGGGACTGAATGAAATATGATTAACTTGGCAGAGTTTAGGACTTTGATGTTTTAAGGGCCAGTGAAGACTGGAAGGAGCAGAGTCAAAAGGGAAATGATGAGATGTTTTACTCGGTTGCAACCTGAGCTTTTTCATGGGACAGGCCACTGTAGGTCGGTGGGGTGGTGACAGTGCCTTGCCAGGGAGACACTTTGTCTTCCTAGGATGCCTAGAATTCCTCTGCCTTCAATGGCCTCTCCACTCTCCAATTGCAGCCGTAACAAAGTCTCAAATGGCTGTGTGCATGCCCTTTTGTCTGCCTGGGTTGCATTTGAAACAACTGTGTCCTGACCATGCCACGCCTCAGCTCCCATTACATCAGTGCTCCTGCAGTTGATCTAATAAAATAAATTGTATTTCCTACCATCTTCACCTCACTTCTGTGCCTAGACTCTCATGGTCTGTTGCCATTTCAGTGCAGGCTCTCATTGCAAGGAGCTCCTGGGGAAGCTTACTAGTGTGCAGCACTAAATTTGACCTTTCTGCTTCACCGAAGGCTTTGGTTCCCTGCAGGATCAGGGTTTTGGGGAAGGAAGAACAATTGCACCGTAGTTTTCCCCTTGCTAGAGGTTGTTAGTCAATGGCTACTTAAAGTCAACATTGCAACTAAGAGTTGCTAGTATAAAACTAGACTTAGAGCACGCAAGAAATCATGGTGGCAAACCGAAGTAGAGTATCGAAGCCACCAGCCAGAAAGATTGGGGTTTACTTGGGTTTTTTCCCCCAAAGCTCTGGTAGCTTTCCATTTGTTTAATATTTGAATCATGCAGGACTAAACAAAGACGAATATGTATCTAGAGCTGAATAATTCTGGTGGTACTCTGCATCATTTTTAAATTGAAAATCCGAAGCAGTGGTCTCCTATGTATCAGTGTCTTTAAAGATTGTATTGTAATTGCTGAATCTGGAGGTGTGATTTGTTACATGGGCATAAACTAAACCCCATGTTTAATAAAGTGAATAAAATACTTTCTGCAGGCCCCACTCGTCAAATTTAGCAAAGATCTTACTGCAACACTTCTTAAAAATGGATCCACCCACAGTTACATTTGTACCCAGTCCAGTTACAACAGCTCAGGGAATCTATAGCAACTTGAAAAGCAGTTTGCTTTTTGGGTGTATTCTAGGTATCAGCTGCAAGTGGCTTCTTAAAAAAAAAAAAGAAAATCCTAAACATCTTACCTTCTTCCTCTTAAATACGTTTCAAATCCCCTGTTCTCACTGAAGCCAGAGGTAGAAGCCACGTTGACACTGAGCAACCTGCGTTCTGGTTGTCATTCTGTACAACAGCGGGGATCTCACTAGTCTGCTGTGCCTCCCTAGACCCTTGAGCTGGCTGTGTTTAGAGAGCCACTTGCTATGTAGTGGAGAGGAGTTAAACAGCAATTAAATCAACTATGAGAAGGGTAGAGTGATTTCAAAACCCTCTCCAGGTTTGAGCCTAGTTGTTTTAAGAGGTGCTGCTCTGCCTTGATGAATAAAACTGACAAAAAAAGCAGAGCTTTATATTCGCTTCTTGTGTAAGACAAAGCCTCTTCATTTGCTTATCATAAAGTAACGGGCTATTCCTTTCCATTAGAGTCAAAATTTCAGTGTTGCGATTTACGCATTACCCAGAAGGACTGTTCTAACCATGACTTGCAAAGCTGCTACTGAAGTCAGTGTTCACTCTAGGGTGCTCCAGAAAAGTTAATTGCTGCCTTAATTAAGCTATATGATTTGGTGATCACGTAAAATTCAGGTGCTCAATTATAATTAGTTATGTACAAAACCTTCTGTAACACTGCTTGTGCATATTTCCTCGTGCAGATAGCTGGCTTTTGTTTTCAGAAAGCTTCTTAGACTTTTTTTTTCATTTTCCCATCTGTACTAAATGCTGTGCCCCTGTTTCATGACAACCAACTTGCAGAGTGAAATCAAATTCACATCCCTGCTTACTCCTGTGCTTTGCACTGTGTAGGCTGTGAGTCTGATTCACGTAAATCTCCCCTTACAGCATACTTTTTTTTCCCCTCATAGTAAAAAGATTTCTCTGGATCTGCTTGGTATTTATGGATTGGGCTCACTGGGGAAGCTGGTTAAGAGGACTCCCTTTTGTTGAAATGCCATCGTTGTGCTCCCCTCTGATACCAGTTACTCTCTCTGATGTGGGTCTGTTTGGAAGGTCACCCATGTTTAGTTTCTTTTACTCTATTTGAAGGTTGTCTTTTCGTTGAAGACTCATAGTTGAAGTGCTCAGTTGTAACTGTTTGTATGTTAACACTTTGTGGCCACATGTCTGTTGTTCTTTGTCCTTCTGTTTTGTTTTTTTTTTTTTCCCCATCTGCTTCTAGTTGAGACAATCCAGAACAATCCCATCCTCCTCATGGAAAGTAGCCCTCTGGGTGCTCTCCAGCACCAGGACAGCTTCATGGAAACAAGTATCCCCGTTCCCGTACTGAATTGGCAAGATGTTTCCAATAAAAGTGCTGGTTTTGCTGAGTGTGTGTAATCTACGCTTTCGTATTGTCTATGGTGTTGGGTACTTGGGGTGCTTTTTGGAGATCATACTGTTGCCTCCTGGAGTTGAAATCTTCATGCTGTGTCTCAGGCTCTGCCACATGAAATAACCACTTGGGATCATGCTTGGGTCTGGGAGACCCACCATGAAAAGAACGAGTTGGGATGACAAACTCTGGCCCATTCTGGTGTTGATGCTGGAAGGGGAGACTGCTGCCACGTTTTACTTCTGTCCATCTGTGGTGGCTGTGCTGCTGGGAAGAGGCTTTGGCGCAGAAAGATAGAGTGCCTGGGTGGCCCTGCTCGTGCAGGATACACCGCGTGCAGGAGCCCTGGGAAAGGGTTGTCATGTGTGGACTCCCCAGCAGTCAGCCACGCTGCACCGTGGCCAGAAGTCTAATTAACGTCAGACCAGATTTTGTCCATTTGAGTATTTCGTGTTTGGACACTCCTTGTGGCTCTGCTGAATACAGCGACTGAGGCTTTCAGACCCCAAGGTGGCTATACGTGTTAGCTTTTTAAAATTAATTTCTTGACTTCTGCCTTAAAAGCAAGGTTTGATGCATTTGTTTTGCCTTATTTTCCATCATAAGTGCTGCATGGCCTCCTTTATTCTGGTCGTGGCTGGTGCTACATCTGCAATTTTAACGAGATTTGACTTTGGTTTAGTTTTTTCTTCCCTGTGTGTCTTGCCCATTCTCATCCCTTCTTCAGTGTTTCACATTGAGAGCTTGGTTCTGCTGCCTCGTTGTCTTTAACAAGCTGACCCTTGCTGTTTATGAGCAGTCCGGTACGTTATGTGGTCATACAGGATGGCAACATTGCTGACTATTCCAGATAGTCTTTTTTTTTTTTTTTTTTTTTGATGTAGATGATTTTTAGGGATGCAGTTGTCATGTTGCCTGTGCTGTGATGTTCTGTAACAAAGCAGAGGAAAAGGATCTGGTACTATTAATTAATCGCTTTGGAGGTCACTGATGAAATGCCATTTAGCTGCCATCTGATATTTCCTGCTGTCCTTTCAGGACAGAGCTTTTAGAAGCTTCTCTGCTCTTTACCTTGTGTGTCAAGAGCACAGCGTGGCCAAGCAATGCTTGGCTTGACTGTAGCAAGTGCTGAATCCCAGTTCAGCCACTGAACTGCTGGAAATTGCCAGAACCATAAAAACTTAGGGACAGCAGAAATCTGTGTTGCTCTTGATCTCAGGGTAGCGACTGCAGAGTGCCCAGCGCTGACCAGTGACTCCAGTGGAAGCAGGGTCTGGCCTGTGCTGAGCAGCTGGCTGGCTTTTCTATTTTTTTATTTTTTATTTTTATTGAACTTGACATATTTTTGGTTGCTTTCAGTATTTCCTACTTCGGTGCTACAGCTCAGTCTGCAAATAGCACGTACTGAAATCTGCCGTTCAGATACCCCAAGGACTTAATGCAGTGTCAGCAGTACATTAGGAGGACAGCCCAGTGCTGTTCACTTAGTGGGAAACAATTAGTAAGAACATTGACAAATGAGTCCATAAATGAAAAGGCACAGCACTGAAATGAGTATTAAAGATCCATAGGTAGACAGAAAAAACAAAGTGATTTTGCTTCTTATATCACCTCTTCTGGAAGTGCAGTTAAGTCTCATTTCATTGCACTGGCCCGACGTGTGCGTGCTGCAGTTCAGGCAGCGGCAGGTCCTGTGCTGGAAGAGAGGGTGCTCAGGGCACCGCTTGAGCCTTGGTTTCAAACTGCAAGAGCGATACTGCACAAGGGATTTGGTGCAAAGAACATCCAGACTTTAGGAAATATGTTGTTTGGGTTGGTTTGGTTTTTTCCTGCAAGTCAGGTCCCAGGGTTTCATCTGGAAGTCGCTGTCGCTGCAGCTTTGGGGTCAAGGAAGCTGGACTGAAGGGGCAGTAATGCATAAAACAGGTTTTCTAAACACCCTTCCTGCCCTGCCTTTTCCTGGCCCTTGTTTTTCTTAGAAACTGTCCTTTTTCAGGGAAAGATGGTGTGTAGGTTGGGAAAAGGGAGAAACACGAGAGCAACCCGAATGGGCTGGAGCACAGGAACGCTGCTGTCGGGTGGCGCTTCCTTCTGCCGCAACTGCAGGCGATACCAGACTGAACAGTTCAGTAATGCTAAAGCAGTTTAGGCTTTTATAGGAGGGAAAATTACTCCTCAGGTGACACTAGCTGGAGTGGTGTTGGAAGGACTGTTGAGGTTGGGTGGTTTTGCTTCAAACTCACCGTATTCAAAAATCCCCAGTCAGGCCCAGGAAAGAGAAATTGCTTAAAAAGAGCAAGCCCAAAATACCACTGTTTATTCCTTTATTTGCTTTCCACTTTCTGGGTTCTTGAAAAAGGAGATAAAATTCAGGCAGAGCGAAGTGAAGGCATGCTAATGGAGCTGGAGCCATATCAACCCAGGCAGCACCCCATTTGGCTCAGTCTTTTCTCCTGTGTAGCATTGCTGTAACACTCTTTAGCGTGTGTTCCAGCTGCTGCCTAATTCAAACCACAGATCTTTTATATTTAAGGCAGAGGAAGAAGTTCAAGCTTCACTGGCAGGTGTTAGTTAGACCTAAACCTGCCATTTTTGCTAGTACAGGAAAAGCCAAACTTCTCCTTGCATCTGACCAAGTTCAGGGAAGCTGATGGTCGTCATCTGTGTTACAGCTGTGTTGGGGCACCCGTTCGATGTGACACGAGTGCATAAGCACAGAAGGATCTCACAGTCTGTACAGGCAAGGGAAAGGAGAGGAGGGGGTGACCGGGGAGGAGGTGGCAATGTCCCAGGTCATGCAGCAATGGGAACGGGACCCTTTACCCTTGAGACCTTTGTGGGGTTGAATGCAGCTCCTGGCTTGGCTCATGTTCTCCGAGAACAGGCTCCGCTTGAATTGTCTCCTCTTGCTGGTGCTTTCTGCGGTAAGAAAGACGTACTGGCGTGGTGGGGATGGCTGGGTTGTGGATACTGGTAGCAGCCTTGACAGCCGGCAGCTCAAGGCAAGGTGAAAAGAGGAGGAAAGTGCTGAGAAAGTGATGCTGGTAATGGCCTTTCAGGCACAATGTGGGCAGTGCGTGCAGCTCATCATCAGGTCAGGCTCCCGCTGAGGCTCAGGTCTTGCAGTCCACGAAGCTTTTACACAGAGCAGCTTGTGGCCTGATTTTCCCTGCAGAGAACAGAACTCTTTTACCGACACTTAGCTACCTATTTTCTGCTTCATACATTCCCTTTCCCTCCACTGCAGCAGGATTTGTGTGGGCACAGACGCTGCTGCTGCAAACTGAGATATCGGAGGAAGAAAATCAGTAGTCCCAAGCAAAAAAGATCGATATTAAAATAAACCAATTGCCAAAACAACACCCTGTGTCAGCCGCATGCTGGAATTAAATCCAAGGATATCTAAACTGGCTGAAATAGGTGGAGGATGTTGGTGTGTGGGAGTAATGTACTTGCTTTCCTTGTGGCATCTACTGCCTGGCTGGGCACAAACCTGAGCCCTGTCTGATACCTGGGAATAAAGTTCAGGTGCTGCCTCTCAGGTACAGCAGAGATGGGCAACGTTAAAACGATAGTAAGTAGCTTTGCTTTTGCACGTTACTGACATGCTGGTGCTGCCTGCTATGAAGTACTTGGTATTGGCATTACAGACCCTCTGCAGCGCAGGATCTTGGGATATCCCAGAGGCACTTAATTCAGCCTCGTAGCATCCTCAGAGGGGTGGATGCTCTTACCACTGTCATAGGGAGAAAACTGAAATGCAGAGATTTTATCGTGACTTTCAGCATCTCTCAGTTTGCCAGTCCTGAACATTTTGGGTCCATTTCCCTCCAATACATGTGTAAGGCCCACGTGAGCATGACTTCAAATCCTCCTTTTCTGTATTTGTGTACTAAAGGGTTAGGCCACACTTGGTAAACCTCAGGTTGGGATCTAAAAATCCAGATTTGCATGTTGTACAAAAGAAGCTCTGTTTTCACAGAGACTGAGCGCTCCCCGATCCACCAACTCCGATTGGAGATGTAAGTGCTCAGCACCAGACTCCTTTCTTTCAATAGCTCTTACTTTAGTTTAACGAGTGTTGGCTGTATCCGTTAGCAATAAAATACAAGTTCAAATTTAGTCCCTGCCAGGCATGAAAATGTTTTCTTGATTCTTGATTATTTTTTTTCCCATTAATGCTTCTATCTTGGAGATGTTCGTTTAAGTCTAAATGTTTCAAGAAAACAAATGTCCCTTTCTAAGGTTGTTGTTTGTTGTTCTTACCTTGGTTATTTTGTCTTGATGTGAATATACAAAGTTGTGTATATTCACATCTGTATGTATGACACATGCTTCTGTTGTCGCTGCTTGAATAAGTCTGCCTGGATTTTTCTTTGGGGTTTTGGATTTGGTTTTTGAGCTGCTTATTCTGCTTCTCTCAATCAAAGACTGCTCCTCCAGCCACATGTCTCTCTGCCTGCTGTGGTGTTTGCTTTCTTTTCAAACCAGAGCTCCGATCAAATGTTTTTTTTTCATTCCAATCAGTTCTGAAAGATTTTTGCATCTACCAGCCTTGTTTGCCTCCTTCCTCCCCTCGAGTTCATCTTGCCCAGCCTCTGTCTGTTGGTCTAATATTTTGATTTCCCTGTTTCAACTTTGTAGCAGATGTTGTTCAGTCTCATGGTGCCGTCTTCATGGAAAGCGCGTCCCTGTCCACCCCCATTTCAGCCCCTCAGTTCAGGGGCTTCCGGAGAGCCAGTGAGATCAGCATTGCCAGCCAGGTCTCAGGAATGGCAGACAGTTACACTGCTTCCAACATAGCCAACAGTAAGTGTTTCACGCCCTCCGAGACTACCGCTTGCTGCCGCACTGCTCTCTCAACGCCACGCACCGGGCCAGAGCCACGCAGCTTCTGTCTGTCTGGGGTTATGCTTTCCATTCCTCACAACAAGTTGGAATTATCCCGCGTTCGCCCGGTTGTGCCGTAGGCAGTGCCACACGTTATCGTATCCCCTGGAGGAACAGATGATGTATTTGGTGAGAATACAGGGGCCACTGCTGTGTTACGCGTGTCGGACCGTGCCGGTGATCAATTGTTCAAAAAAAATGTAATACTAATAATTGGTAGCTCTGAGCACCACGCTGCTGTGCGTGGTGAGGATTGATCTCAAGGGATGTTGCTGTGCTGCCGTGGAGAAGTCGCACAGGTCTGGTAGGGGTCAGCGCTGCTGGATTGGTAATGCAGGATGTGCATGTGGCTCGATGCAGATCACTTAAATCTGGTCTGCAAAAACAGGGATGAGTGAGCCCCTCTGTATTGCTGAAAGGGAAGAACCGCTTCGGGTTATTTATTACTTTGCATTTGAAATTCAGCTCTTCTGTAGCCCGTAGGTCAGCTCAGAGAGTCAGCTAGTTATGATCCATATCCCAGAGCCAAATAAGGAATAAAAAGGATTATTTATTTGTTATTTTTCCCAAGACCTGTATAACTTCCCAGCTAATACAGTGGAGAACAACAGCTTTTGTTAACAGTTCAGCCACTTCTTCGTTTCAGCTGAGGTGTGAGATTACCAGTCTGTGGCCTCAGGGACCTCTGATAACTCAGACTGAAAAAAGGTGAAAACCAAACAAATTAAAACAACAACAACCACCAAAAAAACCCACCGAAAAAACCTTCAGCCCAAACTCTTGTCCCAGAAGAGGGCAAAAATTTAGAGATACTCTATTCCTGGCACATTAGACTACAGGGCTGTGAATGACTCACTTCGTAATTAATTCCTGAGGTTACATATGCTCGCCAAGGCAAGTATTAGTTGCTGAAGGTCTGTGGGTGCTGTCAGGGGCTGCTGTAACTTCTTGCCCTGTGTGAGGCAACACTCAGCAGCACGAATAAACTACTTGTGCTCGGACAAACGAGCTTTCTTTTCAAAGCACATCTGAGAGCTGATGCCACATTCCCCGTGTGTGTTCTTATATTTGTCCTGGTAAGCCATCTTGCCAAGTGCTTGCTAAATATTAATCTGTTTGGGAAGAAGGCTCCTGGGGGAGAAGGTGTTTGTTTTGTGCTGGTTTCACGCCCACGGAGAGCTGCCGAGCTCGGCCGGCCAGGACGGGAAGCGGGGGGCGGTGGTTGTTCGTTATGAAGTATTTACACCGGGGTGATGCCTGAAGGTCCGCGTGACGCGACGGAGGGATCCTGCCTCTGCGAGCCGACGGCAGGATCCGGCCCACGCAACGCTTGCCTCTGCTTTCCCCGCGCTCTCCCCAGTTATTTAGCTTCTGGCTTGTGTAATTTATTCCTTCACGCGCTTCATAGCTGTCAAAACCTGTTTCTGAGATCGGAGAGGAAGAGTCCGGCCCCGGCGTGGGCTGCGCACGCGCCCTGACCCCATGTGCCGCCTGCCCCAAGGGCTGTCGCAGCCCCTCCTTCGCCTCCCGAGCGCAGACGTGTCCTCTGAGCCCTGGCTCTGGCTTCGCAGCCCTTGGGCTTGACCTTGTTAGCGTGGTGCTAATGTGAAGCCGTGGCGTTGAGGGTTGGATGCGGTCCGTGCTTATCCCACGGGGAGAGCCGGAGGAAGTCCAGGGGGATGCTGCGAAACCATGGCTCCCTCCCAGGAGCCCTCCCTAGGGTGCAGCCTCCCTTGCACTGTGAATTTCTGGAGGATGAAACCGGTGTTGCCTGCGGCATGTGTGTGCCATAATAATGTGTGATTTCTGCTTTTTTTTTTTACTTTATTTTTCCTTTTAGAAACCAAACACCACCTTAATCATTGTAGAGGGTTTAGCCTTCTGTCCCAACTTGCCCTCCCTCACAAATCCCCTACCCAAACCTCGTCCAAAAGACGTAGGCAGCATAAACATGAAATCCCTTCGAAGGGAAGAAAGCTCAAAGGGCCGTGGAGTCAGACTGCAGACTGTGCTCTTCGGATACCCGACCTGGACATCAAGACAGGTATTCTGGAGAGATCCGCTCTGGTCGACCTGCTGTCTCATTTGATAGTCACAGAACTTCATAACACATCTATGCGCTTTCACTGAGGCACTTGCAATTTCTGATTGCATTTTAACAAGTATTTCTGTCACTTTGCTCCGAAGATCGATCATAACACGGCTAACAACTTGGCAAGAGCAGGAGTTCTGGGCAGAGCTGTGGGGACAACGCTTCTGCCTCCACCACTGTCTTTTGAGCATGGAAGAGTAAATCCTGTCTGCTTCCTACAAAGAATCTGAGATTACCCAGGCTGGGGACTTGCATGAGAAATGAAAGGTTGGCCCACAGCCAGGAGCTGCCAATTTGGAAGACAGGGAGTCAAAAATGGCTGGGAGGAGGTACCTACGTGCTCTGGAAGAGCCACGTTGATCCGTCAACGCGCTGCTCCTCCTTCCCATGGCTCTTCAGAAAAGCAAGGGCCGTTAGGATAAGGGGCGCCTGAGCACTCAGCACAGACAGGGCTGGGCTATGGGGATGTGCTGGTGCCATAACACTCTGCATGTTGCTGTGGTGGGAGCTTGTCCAGGTCTCTGGAAAGAGCTGGTGGGTCGTTTTCTTCAGTTCAGCATCTGTACTCATCACCAGCTAGATTTCCCTTAATAAGAGGGGTTTGTTGGATCGTACCTTACACCTGTCAGCTTTCCTGGACGTCCATAAAAAGGGAACATTGTCACAGAGAAAAAACAAGCTTGAGAAGGCCCTTGTCAAAGCCCCAGCTTGCAGCCTGCATGCAAATGCAGCTCCTTCTATTGCTCTCTTGATCTCTTCCATCTTCTCTTTCCATGGCTGCTTTTCCAGGCCGGAGCGCGTGAGGGTTGAGGACTCCTCACTGCTGGGAAAGCAGCCCCCACCTTGGGGGTCTGAGGCCTTTGGCTGAGACACGTTCATTGCTAGGAAGTCGGAAAGGATGTGGGCACGAGCAGGGTTCGGGGCGGTGGTGGAGTGTGGTGGTGTCCTGTGGGTGAATGGTGGCTGTCAGACACTTGTGTGTGACTCCCCGAGGAAGAAACTCTTCCGCCTTGTCTGTAACCTTGCCCACCCAAAATCCCAGTGTATTTTTCAGTCCCCCACGCAATGAAGTTGCGGCACCCCCAGCTACTTTCCTTATTGGCCACTGCAGAGGCTGTGCTCCCGGGGAGGCTGGGCTGGACATCTTGGTTGCCTGCAATGTGGTAGCCCAGGAGGGCAACAAGGACTTGCTGGGGACTGCCAGTCCTGGCAGCACGTGCCATATACCCTGCCTTGTGGTGCCTTTTAGCATCTCACGTGGGCTCCCAGTATTCAGATCCTCTTTAGTGTGGCCAATATCCAGATGCTATTCCTCGGTGAAAGCTAAAGGAGTTGGAAGCGGGGCTGGAGATGGCCTGGGCATGCACTGTGGTGGGCAGAGCGCGTACGTCCTTCCTCCCACAGCTCCAGGGAGATGCGTTTCTGTCTTAGGTTTTGGCACGTGGATTCCCAGGCTCATTGCACGAGCCTTGGACCCCTTCCCCGGGTCTGGACTAACGGCCAGTTAATACCTGCCCTCTAGTGCCTTCCTGTTTGCTAAATAAAGGCGAGCTCCAGTGTTGGTGCCCCTGTGTGTTCCTCCCTTGGTTTGAGCAAACGCTGAGCCCTGGGTCAGTGGTTCCCTCTTAGCAGTGCGACCAGCCAGGGAGCAACCTCACGGTGTGCCTGGAGTGAAGAGCCAGAACCTTGAAATACCGTTTGTGACGGAGACTGCACGTGCATGTGAACCCCCTTTGTCTGAACGAGCCTTTTGCTTCTAGTTGCTGCCAAATGGTGGGGAACCAAAAGGATCGACTACGCGCTCTACTGTCCTGACGCTCTGACGGCTTTCCCGACGGTCGCTTTGCCGCACCTCTTCCATGCGAGCTACTGGGAGTCCACAGACGTTGT